TAAACCATGGGTAACCATTTGCTTTGTTACTACTTTCATTATTTTAATAATCAATAAAAAATGAAACGTTTTGAAAGTTCGTATAGGTAAAACCCCCTGAAACCTTTCTGGATACGCCCCTGACTTTAATACAAACCTTTATCATTCGTGAGAAGCTTAAATCAAGGAACGGGGCCTCGGTGGCCGAGTGGTCTAAGTAGTTACTACTGTAATCACTAGCCAGTCAACACTGAGGTTGTGAGTTCGAAATCCGCTCATGCGGGTGCACTCGACTCCAATCTTAATTGACTAGGAGTGTCAGTTTTCCTATCGAAGGTCGGTGGTTTTCTCCTGGCACTCCGGCTTCCTCCACCAATTAAAACTGGCCGCCACGAAATAGCCCAAAAGCGGTGCTTAAAAGTGGCGTTAAAACACAAAAAATCAAAATCAAAATGAATCAAGGATCTTAAAAAGTACAGTCAAATTCATTGAAGGTTATTTTGACTTGAGGGTCATTCAACCTTAGTTTCTTGTTAAATTCAATTATTCAACGGACAATTTCTCAAACGTGTGTTATATATTATGTTAGTGCAGATTAATTGACCAACTAAGATGGGGGTATTCTCGTGGACTTACAGTCCACTATCTGTGATTTTGACGCAGTTCTGAAAAAAACGATATTAACACTTTATACATTTAGTACGTTTGATGCGATTTTCTGTATTAGTCTTCATCAGGAACACTAAACCTCAACATTTGAATGCTAAGAATGTAAAAATACCTTGTGTAACAAGCAATTTATGTATTTTTATTTAAAAAGTAAAGTGAAGGCAAAATACATTTGCTCGTTTATTTCGTATAATTCAACCCAGCAGACAAATAACAAGAAGAAGACATTATTAGTTCCAAAATAACAACTTGTACATTGTTACCAATGTAAACACACCGTTGTCTTGTTTATATTTATTTGTTACTCTTATATGTTTTCAACTCACCTGTCATCCAACTGTATTTCCAAATGTATGTATGCTATTTCAATAGATAAGATATACACACCACACAAGCAGTAACCAAACATATAGACTGAAGTACAAACTGTTATCATCCACAAGTAACTAAAATTGTTTATTTAAACGAACAGTAATCTGTGACAGGGCAAACTTTATCACTTATATCACTTAAGATTAAAACCCAAGTTCAAAATTTCTATCAACTTGAACAAATTGAAAAATAAATATTAAGTATCAGCTGTGTAAAATGCTTTTATGACTTTAACAACTAGTAATCGTTAAGAATAATAATAAAGTTCAATTCATATAATTTGAACTCTAGCCATGTAATACTCGTTGGCACACCCCACTTAGGTTATGTAAGAAACTCGTGTGCATGCATTTGATATCATTATGTTTACTACCAACGAGCTGCTACCTTTGACTAGTAAGTGTTTCTATGTATAAGCATACATTAACTGCTACATTTCGTCTGTAAATTTCTTTTCCGTAACATTTTGTAATTTTGCTTAACTATGGTTGCAACTCCAAAAAAAAAAAAAATATGTTACACGATACTGACTTTACTATTCAGGTCCGTTTAGTTTTTATGCTCTCAAATGTCTTGTATATTTGCCTGTCCATACGTTGGTCACTGATAAACGAGATGATTTTTTTTTATTCCAGAAACAATGAGGTGATGTTGAACTAGGAGATTTTGGTTCTTCTATACGATTGCAGAAAATTTGTAGCAAAGCATGACTTGACACTGTTATAGGTATTCCATACTGGAAGGCTATGGAAGTTATAAACGGAGAGGGACAAAGCAAAAAAAAAATGCAACTGATGAGACAACTCTCTATCCAAGTTACAATTTATAAAAGTAAACCATTATAGGTCAAGGTACGGCCTTCAACACGGAGCATTGGCTCATACCGAAAAGCAAGATATGAAGGGCCCCAAAAAGTTACTAGTGTAAAACCATTCAAATGGAAAAATCAACGGTCTAATCTATATAAAAAAGAGAAACGAGAAACACGTATGAACTACATAAACAGACGACAACTACTGTAATCAGATTCCTGACTTTGGACAGGTGCAAACATTTGCAGCGGGATTACACGTTTTAATGGTACCAAACCTTCTCCCTTTTCTGAAACAATAGTAACATCACAACATAGAAAAACACACTATAAAATATAAATTGGAAGGCTTAACTCAATCAAAAAACGTAAATTAACACACAATGAACGAATAAATGTTACCTGTGACACCTGAATGCAAATACAAAGTTGATGTTTGTTTAATTATTTGTCTTTTGTATATGTTCAACTACAGTAAATTCACAAACTTTGCATGTTTCTATTCATGCATATTGTTAAGAAATAGGTTTTACAAAAAAAAATAATAAAAATGATAGCACTATCTGCTTGCAGCATTTGTGGGAATAGAAATAATTATTCTCACAGTTTCATCCAATGTTCAAGAATCTCAAATAAAACGAACACAAACATGTCTGAATTCAAATTAGTACACTGAATATCAAAACGAATCTGTTTACTAAGGTTCCAACTCTACAAGAAAAAATGAACGTCCCATGGTTAGAGTTGTTCAGTAAAGATTGTTTTGCCTCAAATGATTAGAAGGGTTTTATTCATCGGGAATTCACATACTTTTTGACAAACCTGATAAAGTGTGTTCAAGAACAATTGTCACCATATGTGAATATATTATTTCAGAATAAGAACAAAAACAGATTTTAAAAATGAACATACACCTAATAACAATATAGAATACTTCCGAAAGATCAACACCAGAAAGAACGAACAAAATCAGTGTTCAAAGTCATTCCAGATAAAAAAAAAAAAACAAAAACAAAAAAAAAAACGTCATTTAGAATAACCAAATAATTGGCAAAATAAAAAGACTTGCATCTCATTTTATATATTTTTTTTTCCATTATGAGTTAATATTACAGTGACCTTTGAATATAAAGCGATTTGATTTCTTTAATTTTTTCATCTTTAAATGTAAACTAATGTAAAGATAAGTATCGTCCTAATAGGTCAATGATTGATTGGTAACATCGAATCAAAAATTAAAAAATCTATAGCTAATTTCCTTTAAATTCTCTCACATAAGCAGATGTTTCGATAAAAAACTTGACAAATATGTAATCTGCTTTCTGCATACTGAAATTTAACTCGTAAAACTTTTCATACTTTTAGAAGAACAAATGAATTTCTATACTTTTCATAATAATTTCACACATATATACAACAATAACTCAAATTTGATATGTTCACCAATAGCACATACATATTTTTAACCACTTTAGCAATGCATATTTACAACAGAAGCAATTTTAAATATATCAGTATCATATCTTTTTTTTAATTCTAAAAAATTATCATAACACTGCAGTATACAAAACAGTAAAACAGTATACATCTATACACCAGAAGGTTTTGGTGGGTGTCGAAAAACACTTCTACAACAATAGAATATTGTACTTAATTGTCAGAAAACATCTAAACAAGACAAGCACAGCACTTTCTTTACCAACAAATATCTGTTCACTCGTATCATATTGCTGTATAATATTTGAAAACATCTTGACAACAGTAGCATACTGCTTTAAAATTGCAGAATACATCTTTACAATAATATTATAATGCATTATAATGCCAGGATACATCTTTTAACGCAGCAACATATTGCATTATACTGTCTGAGTACACATAACCGTAGCATATTTATTTATTATGTTGGATTACATCGTTGCAACTGTTTCACGTTGTTTTATAATGTTAGACTTCATAATAATGTACCTACAACAGAAGCGTTTATCCTTACAAAAGTGGCATAATTTATCAGAGATGAACTTTAGAATAGTAGCTCATATCTTAACGAAGAATATACCTTTAGAAAAATCACATAATGTTAAACTATAGTAATATTGAAATAGCCTTTAAAATAGACAAATTTATTTTTTTTTCAATTCGAACCGTAATATACTCTTGTCAATATACATTGCTTTGTATTAAGGATGTTCGCTTGTCATGTTTTGGAATTTTTGTCAAATTTTCGGAATCCTCTGGTTTTATCCATTTGAAAGCCTTAAAAAAATGCACATTGACCCCCATGTTTCTTTTTATAAATCTTTTACATATATAATTATAAACCATTTGTAAAAGTCTTATCAAATCCTTGTTATTTTTTAATAGCTTTTGAGCACTTTAACTTGTCAATGATAAAGCTTTGAAAAATCAAGAGAGATAATTTTCCCGCCAAAATGTCAATGGCAATTATCTCGAAAACATGCACAATGACGTATACTTTTTTTTTTTTGCTTTTTTGGTTCCTTTAATAATGCCCTATCATTATATACTAGTGTTATGAAAAGCTTGTTATTTTGAAACTGAGTAGAGAACCTCCTTAATCAGATGTTTCAAAATAACCAGTCTTTGGTATCACGTGTACCTAGTTTTCTCTAAAACCCATTGGAACTCTAACAAGACTATTCATCTATCAAAGTAAGTATATATGTGTGCAATTACGCACCATAAAAGGTAACATATCCTTTCAAAAATTCTAATTTTCTTCAGAATCAGGCAATGGTAAAAACATGACAAATTAGAGGCGTTCAAAATTTATAGTGGTGCACGGATTTAGTATTTGTTTCCTTGTCCTGTTCTGGTAATTTTAGATTATCGTTGGTCATTTCAACGAAATTAATTTGCTCGCTTGAGCCTAGTTAGCGAAAGTGAGTAAAGGAATCCAATTTATCGCTATTTTGCCTATGACGACGTTGATGTTTACATGGACAACGGCTCGTGCGTCCTTAGTTTCTAGCGATATTTCTTTATATCACTCTTCTGTGATGAGAAAGGCAATTATCGATCAGTATAAAGATCAATGGAAAATTTCGTAAAATAGTGATAAATCAAGATATTAGAGCGAGCTATCTATGTAATTTACTATCATTCTTACCAAAATTTATCAAGAGATTTCGCATAAACGAAAGACTTATCACTTTGGTGTATCTATTGAATAGTTAGGTCTGTGTGATCCTTTCAGCGTCCGTTTATTTTCACGATGCTTGACAACTAAGTCACATTTATTATAGTCTGCTCCTCTGTCAATTAATATCTTAACTATTTCTGTATGACCATGTTGACAAGCCTTTATTACTGGTGATTGTCCTTTCTTGTTACGTTTATTATATTCTGCTCCCTTGACTAACAGCATCTTTATGATTTGTGTATAACCTTGTTCACAAGTTTTCATTACAGGTGACTCACCCATCTCATCGCATTTATTTAAGTCTGCTCCTCTATCTAACAATATCTTTACTAGTTCTGTATGGCCATTTTCACACGCCTTCATTACAGGTGACTTATCGCTCTTGTCGCATTTATAATAGTCTTCTCCTCTGTCTAACAACATTTGTACTACTTCTGTAAGTCCTCGTTCACACGTCTTCATTACAGGTGACTCTCCCATCTTGTCGTATTTATTATAGTCTGCTTCTCTGTCTGTCACCATTTTGACTATTTCTGTATGGCCTTGTTCACATGTCTTCTTTACAGATGACTTATTGCTCTTGTCGCATTTAGTATAGTCTGCTCCTCTGTCCAACGACATCTTTACTATTTCTTTATGACCTTATTCACAAGCCTTCGTTACAGGTAATTCATTGTTATCGTCACATATATTACAGTCTGCTCCTCTATCTAGAAAGATTTTTAGTATTTCTGTCTGAACATGTTTACAAACGCTCATTAAAGGTGACTCTCTAGATTTGTCAAATTTATTACAGTCATTTATGTTGTCCATGTGCTCTACCAACATCTTAACTAATTCTACCTCTTTATCGTAGAGTTTTTGAATGTTAGCATACTGTTTAGTACATTTTGCCATTTTGTTTAACACCCGTTTTGTTCCACCACTTTGCTCACAAACAATCGTTAGAGCTGATTGATCCCTACTGTCATATGTGTTACAGTCTGCTCCTCTGTCTAATAACATTTAACTATTTTCGTGCAAATATTTATACAAGCAATCATTAGTGTTGAGCATCCATTTCTGTCCAATTTATTTAAGTCTGCTCCTCTATCTAATAACAACTTCACTATATCTGTATTACCCCATTCACAATCCATCATTACAAGTGACTTTTCATCTAAATCACATGTGTTACAGTCTGCTCCTATGTCTAATAACATTTTTACTATTTCTGTACAACCATAATTACAAACAACCATTACATATGATTGTCCCTATCTACTACATATATTATAGTCTGCTCGTCTGTCCAATAACATCTTTACTATTTTTATATGGCCTAATTTACAAGCTGCGATTATAGATGCGGTAGAGTTTTCCCATTTACAGCCTGCAACCCAGTCTAACAACATCTTTACTATATCTGTACTTGAATAATCATGACCACACGCCTTCAGTAGAGGGTATTGCCCATAGCTGTTAGATTTATTCCAGTCTGCTCCTCTGTTTTATAACATCTTAACTATTCCTGTATGACCTTGTTTACAAGCCTTCAGTAATGGCGATTGTCCCTTCTTATTACATATATTACAATCTGCACCCTAGACTATTTTTATGTGGCCAAGTTTACAAGCTTACATTACAGGTGACACACCCCTCCAGTCACATTTATTACAATTTACTCCTTTGAGCAACAAGATCTTTACTATTTCTAGATGGCCATTTTCAGAAGCCATCATTACAGGTGACTTCCCAAAAGCATCACATTGATTGCAATCTTCTCTGGATCCTCTGTCTAAAAGCACATTAACTACTCCTTTGTGACCATGTACACACCCAATCATAAGGGGTGACTTACCGGCATACGCACACCTTTTCATGTCAACCACATGATTACAACACCATTCGATCAAAGACATATCTCCTAAATAACAAGAATACAACAAAGCAGTTTCGAAGGTATCATAAGAATCATACGTAGAAAAAGGTTTACTATTGTCACAGATATTCGCCAATTGCCTCTGGTAAGATATATCAAATGTATATAAATATTCAAGAAATGTCAGTCTAAACTGCGGTATCTTCATATTGGTGTTACCAAACACTCCTTGTACATTTCCCTTTGACCTAAAGTAAATCTGGTGAAATTTTCGTATTACAATAGTAATAAATTGGTCCATGTCACCCTTTCTTTCTAATGCAAATCTTTCCTTTATCAAATCAATGTCTGCATTTTTTATCAAGCAATGAACTATTTTTTGTCCAAAGAAGTATGCCAAAAAGTCAAATATTTTATCATGTATGGCCCCGTAAACGTTCTGTTCTTTCTTTATAAATGTATGTGCACGTAGGTCAAGTTCCCTCTGTAAAACAAACCTAGATGTTCCTCTATCTAATCTGCAAACTTCACATGTGTTCACGATGATAGTTTTTGTTACTTCATTCATTTCGTCTGTTAAAATTGCTCCATTCAACTTGTTGTTAAACATTACACATAAAGCCAAAGCACAGTATTTTGTGTAATACCCTTTCTTCCAAAGCTTTCCGATCTCTGCTTCATAAACTGAAAATGGATTCTGAAAAAAGGTCAGATACATCAAGTTTAGGATTATCATTGTAGAGTTTGCATAACAGTGGGAAACAGTCATATAAATCATAATAGTCACCAATCTCAGAGGCTTTTTCTTTGAGATACAACTTAGCTAATGAATCCTTTTCAGCTTTTGACAAATACATGTTCTTTGATAAGATGTTACATACACATGACTTAAAAACTGATAAAGAATCAAACTTTTCATCTTGGTATACTTGTAACCTACAAGCTGCAAGTATTTTTGTTTGTTTTATATCAAGAATCTGTTTTATATCTTTCATTACTGGTTCCCAACGTTTGATGTAACTCAGGTCAACTGAAAAGTTTCCACATAAATCATCAATAACAAACAATATTTTCGTATTTGGATTGTAAAACCTCAAAATATCACTAGGCCCTATAAGTAGGAGAACGTCATACACTTCTGCCAATTGTAAAGCTGTATGTTGGAGGATAGTTGTTTTTCCTACACCAGAACTAGCAGTAATAGTTACACATCTGCTTTCCTGTATACATTTGAATACATACTGGGCAGCTCTTGTGTTTATAAACATCTTGCCATCGTTGGCCTTCTAGGCTTTTAGGGTATCGTTAATTCTAACTAAAATAGAATAATCAGAAATATTTCATGACAACTGACATTCCTGTCCTCAGTTGGGAGCCAGTTATCTTGTGGTTATCACATGGTGCTGTGTATCAGATTTGTTTTGTTTTGTTTCGTTTATTGCCATGTATATTTCGGGGCCTGTTATAGCTTGCTATAATTTTGCTCATTGTTGTCGTTCAAACTGTGACTTATAGTTGATAATATTTATGTAATATGATTGTTGATAGATGTATTGTATATTTTTCAGATGACAATATTGCCTGTTTACCGTTTACTTTCTCATACACTTGAACTTACATTTATTTCAGTAAAACAGCCATGTTTTTTTCAAATTTAAAACAAATGCTCAGATTTAGTCAAGTAAACAATTGGAGGTGTCATAGAGTTTACAATTATTTAGAATATCGTTATTAATGAAATGCCCTAACTTTAGTTACATAACGTAATTCACAGGCGGAGCAAAACTTTAAATAATGGCGGGAAAAGCTTAAATTATTTCTATTTTGCCTGGTTAAGATATTCGCTGATCTTGTTTTTGACTTTCTGTCAGATATACTGAATATCAATTGGTCTCGTTTATATATAGAATTTTAAAATTTTGCCAATTTACGATTTCTCTCATTTCATAACTCATTAACATAGAATTAAAAAATCATTTGGAAAATTTTGCTAAAAAAGAAAAAAAGTACGAAAATTTGTGAAAAAATAATTTCCCGCCAAATTGTTCAGGGTTTATTTGAAGAACTGTTTTAGCCTCCCTTGTTTTCATCTTGCTTTCATCCTTCCATAAATAAATAGATGACGGTTGATTAATTCGTAAGCATGGATTTAAAATTTGAGCACTTTACAAAGTCAAGGAGTAGATTTGACCAAGTCCCATCCAAAATTTTACCTCTTTTATTCCAAGGTACAGTATCTCTCTGAGAAACTTTTACTTCTTCCATTTGTTTTGTCACAACTGCAAAATTTTCTTGAAGTAATTCATGAGATATTTTCATTTCATTATGTGACAGTTTCAGATTTTCTAAAGATTGTTTAAGCTCCCGGATTTCATTATAAGAATGCTTCATGTCTATCAAAATTTCTTGGTTGGTTTGATCTAAAAGTTTTGTTTTCATATGGTCACATTCCTGCTTCATTTGCTCCCCATCTAATCTTTCGATGGCCTGTAAAATATAGAATATTTTTTCTCTTTAAATTTATAGTTGCACACAATATAGGCTATTGCAGTTATTATATTAATTATTTTCCTTTTACCTTTCTTGGTGACTTGAATAAAACTTGCAGTACAATACAAACTTAATGATTTCACTGTGAGTTAAAAACCGAACATATTTTGCGTTTTATCTTCCATCAACTTTTCATAAACAGCATATGCATTAAAGGAGTAGGCCCAGTAAGACCCCTTTTTGGCCCCAAAATATAGCTGTTTTACAAAATTGTTAAAATGTAAATTCTTAGCTTTTATTGGAAAGAAGAATACTTCTGTTACATAAATATGGGCTGTTTTTGACAATACAATGCACATGTATCGGGTACTAGCATCATTAAGTCATGCTAAATTACTGAAATCTTCGAAATTTTAGCATTTTGGTTAATTTTAGACGGTTTCCGTCTGAAATGGAAGTGGCCGCATTTGTGTTCATTCTTTATATTTAAATGTAAGTTGTATTTGATGATAATACATAACATATATAAAGGTTGAGAATGAACACGGATACGGCCACTTTCATTTTTGATAAAAAAAAACATCTGAAAAGTGACATATTATGGCATATTTGATAGATTTTTTATATTTAAGCTTGAATTTGAGCGTCTGTAATGAATAAATCAGTTCAAATCTTTCACTTAAACTAATTGAATCGACTGAAGTAGACACTTAAGTGTTTAAAAAGTGTCCAATATTTTTTATCAGTTGAACCTGAATTTTGAGGCCAAAATCGGCTCTTACCGGAACTACTCCTTTGTATGAGAACACATAGAATTAAAAGGCATTATTCTGATAATTGTGCAATAATCTGCGATTATCGTATGTTCTATATTAACTCAGACCGTTCATGTTGATCAAAATAACATTTATAGTACTTGTAAGTTTATACTTATATAGATTAAAGATCATTTAATTCAAATTCGGTTTCAAATATATATTAACTATTTTCAAAGGGTAAGACTATTAAAACAAGAAAGGAAATATCATAGACAAACAAACATTAATTTCGTTGTCTGGATTAATTTGTTATACAGGTTGTATAACTTGCTTTTATAGTATTGTTTACAATAATATACATTTTGTCATGTATGGGCAATCTGAAGCTTGGTGTATCTAGTTGTTGCAGGCTG